TTTTTTTTTTTTTTTTTATTATTATTGACCTTATATTCTGATTTTCTGTATTGCTGGTTTTCATTACCTGTAAACCTTAATCATCACAATTACAAGAAACAGCAGAAAGTAATCTTTCTCTCTATGTGTAATGAACCAAAGTTTCACTTTCTACCATTAGCTGGAGAAAACATTGAACTAATTCAGCAGAAAATCATCTTGAGGCAGCGGGGTATGTACAGCTTTTTATTACGATAAAACCATCATTTATATACATTTCAAGTGAGATACAGTTGCATGATGACCTTCTGCTATCTGCACATATGTATCAGTCCTCTACAGTACACGGGTCTAAAAAAAAAAAAAAGAAAAAGGAAAGGAATTCAAACTAAAATATAAAATAAAACCTGATTATCAAACTTTTATTGTGTCCAAGTGCTGAATTAAGGAATAAACAGGTAGTGTTGACAGATAATACCAGGCTTTATGTAACTTCTTCGTAACCAAAATCTTTACCTTCTTACCCGGAGCAAACGTTACAGAGAAAATATCGACACGGTAACTTTAATTAAGGTAGATTAAAAAAAACAAAAAAAACAAAGGAAAATAAAAGACGGAAACCCGTTTAAACCATGACTGATCACAGAGTGATGATGCGAGGCACGACTCAATGCAAAGGCTTACATGTCTGTGCAAAAAGCTCTAGAGCAGTGCTGTGGCTTTTTAAAACCACAGTGGAGGAGGTGAATAGAAGGGGAGGGGGGGGGATGTGAAAGCAGAAAAGATGAGATGAGTTGAGATGAATCCAACGAGTCAGAACCAGTTCTGGTCTTCAGACATCTCAGAATATGAATTTACTCACAGAGAAAACTAAAGTTCATCGAATCAGCAGCGACGCAAAAACAAAACAGAAAACGACAGTCAGGAGCATCTCTGACCTCCAGATCCAAACAGCCAATCACACGCCACGCTTTCAACCTGATTACCTTCAGATAAAAACTACATAAAAAAAAAAAGAAATAAGTGGATGATTGTTTCATGTGCTTTATTGTTTGCGTATCAAAATGCTAAAATGGAGCAGCGTGAGAACGGCGCCACCCACTCCTGGCCCTGATGGGGTCACACTTTGACCACAGTGTGAATCCACTGTGGAGCCCGCAAGAGGCGACGCCAGATCCAGATCCAGCCGGCTTTTGAAAATCAGACGTAGACATAAATAGTTTGATGGTTTCACCAGTAGCAGGAATAATTGCCTTGTTTGTGTTTAAAACAGACAAATCTCCATGGATACTATTCAGAAACCAACATAGGGGGAAAAAAGTGCTAATGGAAGGAAAAAATGATCTGCTGGAAGTTTTGCAAATTCACGTCTCATTAAATCCTGTGTGGTTCAACCTCCAGCAGTAACATCTCTTTCTGTGGCGCTTCTGTGTGAAAAACAGGCGCCATCATCATCATCATGGTGCAGCAGTTTGCTGCTAATGATCCAACATTAAAGCGGTTAATCCATCATCATCAGCTTCTCCTTGAATGTCCTGATTTGATGCATCTTTTTTGGTGAAAAAGAAAAACTATTTTCTGCATGTATTCAGTGAATTAAACGTGTGCGATGTGCAGCCTGATGTTTGCACCCATCTCTCCCTCTTTAGCCTTCATTTCAGACGAACGCGTCCCCCGTTTTTGATAAATATTAAATAAATCGCACAAATAAAACAAACTTACTCTCACACCAGACACCACAAAGCTGAAATGTACCACAAACGAGTTAAAAGCATGAAAATAGATCAACATCTGCAGTGTTTAGACCAACGTTACCACATTTGGTCTTTTTAAGTTAACCCACGTTCATTGACATAGAAATGAAAAATGATTTTCCAGGCAGCTTATATGACCTGCAACACAGATAGGTTTGTTGCTAACGTGTAGAGACACGGTGCGGGTCAGGCATGGCTTCGCAGCTTGGTGGATTTTAAGTCAAAGAAACGTCCGATTGTGCCGGAATGACTCGGAAAACAAACCTGACGAACAAGGAGCCGTGAGGAATCCCTTTCAGGGAGCATAAAGGAATGAAAAAATGTGCAAACTACGACTAAAAGAGAAGAAAAGTTTGAACTCAGAAATATGATTTATATGGTTTGATTTTAAAGCACTAAATAAGATCAGAAAAAGTTCCCTGACTGGAAAAAAAAAGGAGATTTATGATTCTCGTCGTCGTAGCAACCGGAGGAAGAACGAGACGAGCGGAACAGCGCTCAGGATGCTGGCGGAGGGGCGGTTTTCCTCCACCCCTGGGATCTGAGTCAGCCATGTGGGAGTGTTACATTCTTCACCTTTTTTTTTTCCTTCCCCCAGCTACAGTTTCCAGTTCATTGCTGGGCTTCGGGGTAGAGGGGGGTATGGGGGGAGGGGGTGAGAGTCAAATTAAGGCCTCGTGTTCCTTCCTCACACCTGTGCATCAGCGCAGACAAACCCTGCTGGTGGACGCTGGTTTAGGGTCTGATTGGCGATGCGGTGCTGCAGAGAGGAGCTCCATCACAGCAGCTACAGCAGGACCCCCCCTTCCCCCCCACCAGGACAGGATCTTAGTGTGGGACGCCCCCTCTGACCTCAGCTCAATGCCTCGGCCCCGGAAAGCCTCGCCCCCGACTTCTTCTGCTCCGTCAGCGTCTGCAGGACCTGAGAGGACGGCAGGGGGAGAAGTTCAAAACTCAAACTCCTGGACCACGCTCCATCATTCAAAGCTTTATTAGTAATAAAGTGGAAGGAAGATAAAACAATAAGTCCACCTGTGACCACTTCCTGTTGCGGCTGGTCATGTGGACGGCGGCGATGTGCTGGAAGAGCTGCTCAGGAGGGATGAGGTCCGGCAGGCGGGTCAGGAACTGAGCCATGTGGATGAAGTCCATGGAGGTCAGGACGTCCTGGTAGAGGCGCAGCACGCCCAGCGCCGTGCGGAACAGGAACTCCTCGCCGTCCCTGCAGAACACGTCCCAAACGCGGCATGCCAGGTCCAAAGGCAGAGACTTACTGTACAGCGTGAAGATCCTGGGGGGGAGATGAGAGAGGAGAAAGAACCTGTAAACTGCAGCTTTAGCTTGTTTTTATTTTTAAAATAAGGATAAAATAACCAAAGAAATAATGATCTGAGATCATTTAGCACAATCTGAAAGATGTTTTTTTTCCATCTTTGTCGTGAAAAGTGATATAAATCTCCACAATACCGACTCGGCAACGATTCCCTCTGTTGACTGTTTACTTCCTGCTCTCCATATAAAAACTTGAAGCCATTTCCTGTTATTTGCTTGCATTTCAAAAACCTTTTGCACGGCCAACAGGGAGAACATTTCAGTCCCTTTTAGGGATGGAACGGTTTATGAAAAACGTCCGAACCGTT